AAAGATGTTAGAATTGTGTCGATGTCCCAATATTTCTGGACCTGACTGTAGATTTTTGGATACAGATTTTATGGGTTGCTTATATATACACGCACACACATATACATGCATGCATACATATAGTACATACGTACATATACACATACACATACATAAAACTCAGTCCTCCTTCAGGCCACTGCTCCAACTAAAAGCTTAATGAAAAACTGTTCCAAGATTTGATCAAAGAATTGTGCAGGAGGTGCAAAATATAGTGCAGTTTAAGCTGATTCTGCGGCTGAGAATGACAGGCACAGAATGAAGATTTTTACTGAATGTCAAAAACAAATCTTGAGCATGATCACAAAAGAACAGTTAAACCTCAACTTATTATTTAACTTCCACCATTCCCTTTTGAGTTTTAATAATAGACTTGGCTCCTAACACAGTTTTTGCTTTTCAAATGTAACTTCGGTTTAGCCTCTGCTGTGAAAACTATTCATTTATCTCAGCTCTCTACAGAATCTGTTTCCAAGTGCATACAATTAGCACTTTTGAACTTTACCCGCCTTCTTGTACTGAGTTCTGAAAGTTATCATTTGCTGCAATGTTTTCCTGCTGCTTTATTGCTTGTGTCTCTGTCGCTATTCCTAGAGTTTTTTTTGTGATGGTTACTGAAGGTTTATAGCAGTGCTAAATAACTATTAATCATGACAGGGACATCCTCAGGATCCAGTGCTTTTGTTAAAATGATGATAGTGTTGTCGTGCCATCCTGGACATCCTCCAATTCTGTCCTTTTCATATGTACCTGTGATGTCATGATGTGCATGCAAAAGGGTTGGAGCTTCCCTAACGTGGTTTTCAGCATTTGCTCCCCCTGGCCAACAATTCTGAATAGTGGTATTATTAAAGTAAGCATTTGTACATGTATATGCATAGACATATGTATATACTGGGGAAATATGTATGTTGAAAAGGGGATGGGGGAAAATCTGTACTCTTTAAAAGGATATTTGTCTCCAGAATAGACAATAGCTAGAGAATATAAGCTCTAGAAAACTGAATTTGTATCCTAGATGAGGGATAACTATACTTTAGGCAAAAAAAGGAACCATTTTTCCCTTACTGGATTGAATTGGTAGAGGAGGATATTTTTGCAGTTGCCAAACCTGCACTAGATATCATTAATCCTTATGTTACTTCAGCTTAATGAGATTTTTTTTACATATGTTCCACTGGAATGGAGACTTTCTTTCTTATAAAAGGAACCTGTTCTACATCCCAGAAGTATCAAGCAATGAAGATCTGCTAAAACTGCATCCCTTCACTGCATGTGTGCAATCCAAAGGTCGTTTGGCTTCTGCAAACTACTGCAAAATATGCTGGGAACAGAACCTCATAGTTTGTTTATAT